ATTACATTCAATTTATAAAAAGAGGGGTCATACAAATTAATATAAATGCTTTTCAAGCTCATGTGACGTAGGTAATAAGCAGGTTTCACCAGCCTTCAGTTCTCCCAGGTGCCCTGGGAGAGTTGCTGACAGGTGGGCTGACCAGCCCCCTCAGGATGATAAGGGTAGTGAAAGTGCCCGTCCTATGGCGTGGTTTGGATGAGGCAGAAGGCTGAGTGCTATGGTGGTGGAGGCCCCCACCTCAGCAATGTGGGCCCCACTGGTCACCTCAGATTGCCGCATTTTACATGCGGTACTTCATTTCCTCCATTGAAAGTTCCTGATGAAGATACTAGTCTGGTCCCTCCAGAAATGAATAATGAGTCTGCCACACAGACATGGTTTAGCTTTTCACATATGTTAAGGAGCAATTCTTGAATGTAAGCAGATTGCTGCAAAATTTGAATCAGTATCCCTGCCTTAAACATCTGCTTCAAATATTTATTTTGTTCCATGCATGGAATTAGCTGTCTGGTGGATGCATTCTTAGGCATTTCTAGACCCCTATCGGATAGTGCTCCTCCAACACCCGTAAATAGATTAAGTATGCCTCAAAGCACTGCTGTCGGTACCACCCCACCACATAACCAGAGGCACCAGGCTGCTACTGGGACTAAGGCCACTGCGAAGACAAGCACAGTTAGTACCGCTCATGCCTGGAAAGCTCAGCACCAGACATCCTCCACTTCTCCTCTGTCAAGTCCAAATCACACTAATTCAGAACCCCGGCCATTGCCTGCCCCTTGGAGACCAAAGGTAGACAGCATCAGCATCTTGAATCTCTTTGGATCACAGTTTTTGATGCAGCATTTATTCATTGTCAACTTCATAATGGGATAAACAGAAACAGCAGCATGACTGGTAAATAGTGTTCAAGAAATAAGTTAATAATTTTTTATTTTCCTTGCTATTTTTCTTTTTAATTTTTCCTACCTGAAAGATTAATACATAGCTTAAAAGCTCTGTTTCTGACCAAGCAGAGTCTTGTGCTTAACCCCTTCCAGCTGAAGTAAAGAAACTGGGAAGTTTTCCTACCTGTCTTTTTTATGTATGTTCTATAAGGTTTGACCTTTTGTCTGGTGTTATTAGACACACTTCAGTTAACCACTCTTCATTGAATCAGATTCTTTTCAGTAGGTGACCTAGAAGTTCCCTTCATGTCAGTCAGGATAAAAATATTTATATCGGGACCAGCAGTTGGCATAATGTCTATGTCACTGGACTCTCATGCAGCCCACTGTGGTTTGAATCCCGGACCTGGTGGCTTAAACTCATGCCGGGCACATGTGCACGCATGCCCAAGATCCCGAGAGGAGAATGAAGGAGAAGGGATTGTGGCATGGCCATCCCCCCAGGGAATGATTTCTCACTTTCTGTCTCTCTGTCTCTCTCTTTCTAGCGAGCACACGTGCCCTATAGCAAAACTAAATATATATATGAAGAATTAAAGATTTCATTGACTGGGAATTTACTCAAAAAGTGTTTTCTTAGGTTTTGACAGCCATTCGCTCATGTCAACATCAGAAAATGTCTGTTTCACAGTAGACTCTAACCTTCAGCTTTCAGTGTAGAGAACTTTCTTCTTTTCTGGAGAGGTTTTTGCTATAGGGCACATGCATTCGCCAGAAAGAGAGAGACAGAGAGACAGAAAGCGAGAAATCACCCCCCAGGGGGGATGGCCATGCCACAATCCCTTCTCCTCCATTCTCCTCTCAGGATCTTGGGGACACACACACACACGCACCCGATGTGAGTTTAAGCCACCGGGTCCAGGACTCGAATTGCGGTCAACTACATGGGAGTCCAGTGACATAGCCATTACGCTAACTGCTGGTCCCTATCTAAATAAAATTTGATTTATTTTTGTCATCTTACCATTACACTTGGGGGTAAAGCAAGGGTGCAGGATGAATGGGTGGGGTAGTGCAGAAGGTTATGCATATTTATGATATGCCTTAGAAAACTGAAAATAATAATGGCTAGCATTTGTTGAGCTCCTGTTACTGTGTACCAGAGCTCCTGTTACTGTGTACCAGGCACTGTGATAGGTAAATTAACGATTGTATTGGTTGGTTGATAAGAAATTATTTTTCTTGTGGAGGAGGGTTGGAAATAAATAAAAAGATGTCAAGAATGTTAATTACAAGGATAAAACTAATAATGGCCATCAGGGTCTCTGCTTTCTTTTAGAAATGGATTCTTAGCTATTAGGTATCATCTCAGAACTAGGGCCTATGGCTGTTAACAATACACACATAATTATTTTGGGTGTTCTTGCCAATTGCTTAAATAATTTAGAAAAGTTCAGAATATAAAGATGTTCAGGAATATGTTTTAAGAATGCATGGTTGAGTGTAGGGATTCTTTTGCTTTATTTTGTTCAAATTCAGGTACTTACAGCTACCATTTCCATATTATAATTTTATTCATAAGCTTGAAAGTAATGCATACCTATGGATAAGTAAATGCACTTACTCTCTCTCTGGCAAGTACACATGCCCTATAACAAAAATCTCTCCACCCTCCCAACCAAAAAAATTTAAGTAGTAGAGTTGAGATTCAAACTCCAGTGATCTCATTCTAGATGCAGAATAAAAGGGTGTGTGCCTCTACATTTTATTTCCTGTGAATCTTCAGAACAGTTCTGCTTTTGACTGTCATGGAATTGAATAAGGAAGACTGTTGAAATCACAAGATCTGGAGACGTGACTGACACAGAGCAGGCTAAATATTAACTATTATCATTACTGCTACTATTTTTTAGAAGAAATATTTCATTTTATTTGTTATTATTCTTTACATTTTATATGTAATATAAAATAATATGTAATAATATATAATATACCACTCCTTCAGTTATTTTTGGGACACCATTTAGTTCCTAGACCCTCAGACCACAGCACATGTCTTCACTTCTACTGAGCTGATAAGTTTCATCATGAAGGACACCGAATTCCAAAGCCCACAGGTGGATAAGTAGCAGTGACAAAGGCAGACAAAGAACCTTGAAACAATTTCAATCAAATCTGGTATAGTACTATCATCTGACGTAATATATTTGCTTTCTCAGATGCAAAAATTCTATCTTCTCCTTTGACTCTTCCATTAGTTCCATTTGTCTACCTATCATGTCCTTATATTCCCCCCCACCACTGGCTTTTTAAAATAATTTTTAAGCTTCAACTATGAGAATGGGGCTGACAGGTGGTGTGTTGGTTAAGGGTGCTGGACTCCCACATGGCCGACCATGGTTCGAGTTCTGGACCTGGAGGCTTTCTTTCTCAATTTCTCTTTCTCTTTCTCTCTGTGTCTCTTTCTCTGGAAATATTAAAATAATAATAATAAATGAAGTTAAATAAAATAATTCTTAAAAACAATGAGTAATACATTGTTATTTTCAATCCATCTTTATATAACATTATCTTGCTTACTCTTGACAACAATTCCACTGGAGAAAGGCAGCTACCTCAATTTTGTATCTATCTGTATTATTTTTTTCACTTTTCTCCTTATCCAGCTTAGAATCTGCAGCCCTTTTTTTTTTTCATGATATTTTGACAATGCCCTAAGCTTTCTTGTTTCTAGCTATTTTTATCACCCTCCTCTAAAATAAATGCCTAATCCTGAATGAAATAAAATAGGTGCTTTCTCTAGGTCCCTATCTGAGCAGCCACACGTTGCTGAAGCAATTAATTTGTATTTTAATTTGTGATTATCTCCTCAAATGTGCCCTCAGTTTAGCCTGGCATTTCTTCTGTTTCTCTTCTCAGTTTATTTGCCGAGTTCATGATTTGCTCACTATGCCTATTCTGTTCAATATTGTGGCTCTACTAAGCCCCTCACCTTGCACATGACCTCACCTCTACTGTGACACAGATGACATGCGCCATCAGTTTCCTTATGTACTCATGACCGCTCCTGCAAACCGATGAATATGTACAACAATTACACCTCCCTTTCTCCTGTCATGTAGAGAAACTGCCTTTCCTTGTGGCTTAGCGAGTTCTCCATCTGTGTTTTGATCTCTGTATGTTTACACTGCCATTCATCTCTTCTCTCTTACCTGGATTCTCTTCACTGGTTTTTAACATGTCCACATTTCTCCCATCTGAAAAGAAAAACCTGAAACCAAAGTGAAAACCCCTCAATGCACCATCCTCATCCTGTGATTTACTCATTCCAAATGAATTTAGAACCCATGAAAATGTGTAAATAGCAAAGCCTTTTACATATCCAAAAAGCAAGATGTTTGATGACCTTAATGTAGAAAATAATGTGACCCTCAACAAGAGCCGTTAGGCATTGGCTTTTGGAACAGAAAGGAGAGGAGAGAATGAGGAAAGGAACTCCAGTGACCTGGACATTGCTATGGTTTAAATATCCTGTCCCTGAAAACTCATGATGTAAGGATATCCAGTGGGGCAGTGGTGGAGTGTGGGGCCAAGTGGGAAGAACCTGGGACATGGGAGAGTGCATCCCTCAGGAGTAATCAGTGCCAGCTCCTGGGAGGGGATGTGTTTTCATTAGTTAGTTCCCCCAGGAGTGGGTTGTTGTAAAAGCAAGCTGACTGCCTCCAGATCTCTCTCATTCCCTTTTTGCACATGTCTGTCTCCGTTTCTGCTTCTTTCTACCATGTTATGACAGCACCGGATCCAGCTCCATGTCTTTGGACTTTCTAGTCACCAGAATCATGAGCCCAGTAAACCTACTTTCTTGATAAATCTGTCTCACTTCAGTGTTCCTGTTGAGTAAATAGACTCTGCACATTACCATCCGAGACACCGTTATCAGTCTGCTGTATGGCGTTTTGTCTGACCTCCTGCTCCATGACCCATATCAAACTCAAAGAATTTAAAAAAAAAAAATACCAAAAAAAAAAAGGCTTTGGTTTTTAATGATATTTTTATTGAAGAAAAGGTAACAAGAAACAGGAAAATGTGTCACTTTAGGAGAGTTGCAGGGTCATTTTCACTCCTCTGGACATTCATCTTCACCAGCGTGCAGTACTGGTGTGCAGGAAGAAGTAGTGACAGGAGATACATTAATGATGAATATGAAAGTGGTTTTCAAACCATCTTTAAAGATTAGTGGTCATTGTAGACAGTAAACGTCAACTTCTTAAGTAGTTTCTGCAGAGTACTTTCAACCCATAAAACTGGACAAACGACTTTTTCGTTTATTACTTAGGAGTATTAGCTGGAAGACCTTCATATCTAGGAGGAACTCAGGAACGGCTTGGTGCCAAGGAGCTGTTTGCATACACAGTTGGAATAACCAGGACAGACTGGAAAGAATGAATAAAAGCAATCAATAATGTGATTGCAATCCAATTCAGTCTCCCTTGGACCCATCAGAGTCAAGAATAAAGTGGGCTCCAGTAAGCCTATCTTGAGATCTAGAAGACATGTAAGTCTGTATTTCTCCAGCACATACTAAGATGATTTGATAGGAAAGGCTGAACTCACCCTGTTGGGGTTGGCGATTATTTTCCTGGCAAAGTGGGCTGTGGCACAAGCTATGCTGATTTCCAAGAGGGAGAAGATCATCAGCATGGCTGAAATTCCTTTCCCAGCAATCTGAAATCAGAAATAAATACTCCGAAATTTGGGATCTTCAGGAGGGTCTCACATGGTGCTTCAAAATGTTGTTGACTCATTGAGTGCTATTGCTCCTTCTCAACTCACTACATAATTATTTTTCCATTATCATCAAATGCATACTTTAGGGAAATGTGTTTTTATTTAGGATTTTCTTTTAAATGTCAGAAGATATTCCTTTTGTGAAGTGGCTATTTTTTTTAGAAGTGTTAAAGAGAGGGTAGATTTTTTAATGGCTTCTTTATTTTACTTAATATAAAAACATTGACTATTTATTAAAAATAAATCAAGCAACATAGAAACTTAGAGGCCATCTGAAATGTCACACCTATAAATAATTAAAATGATAATCATGACTATTATCCTAGATCTCTATGCAGAGAAAAAAGGCAAGAAGAATGGGTGTATGGAGAGATAACAAATTGGAAAAAATCGTTAAGCAAGATAGGAATGACGGCAAGTAATAAGAGAAATATTCCTTTAAGAATGGAGTCATATATGTTTGCTTGTGTGTGTGTGTGTGTCATGTCAGAGAGAGACAGAGAAGGAGACTACCACACTCCCAGTGGGATATGGTCACTCACAATCCCTTCTCCATTTCTCCATTCTGTCCAGATTTGGGCACAGATATATTTGTGTCTGGTGTGCTTTTTAAGCAAGTAGAGTTGAGATTTGAACTGTGGTTGGCCATGTGGGATCCAAAACCCCAGCAGGCCATGGGGATGGCCCAGAATGAAATCATGTTATACTTTCTACTTTGAAATAAAAGTATTAAGTTTCCTTAATTTTAAAGATGAAAAAGAACTTCATTCAAATTAAGTCTGCAGGGCAAGTCCATAGCATAGTGGTTGAGATGGCTGGATCCCATATGACCAACCACATGGTTTGACATGGATTCAGTGTCTTCTAAATATACAAGGTATGTGCATATGCATGCCCTAAAACAGGGAGATGGGATTGCAGTGTGATCATTCCCTATGGGGTGTGCTTTCTCACTGTACCCCTTTCTCTCTATATCTCTCTCTCCGTCAAGTGCCTTATGGCAATTTTTGTTGTTGTTTATTTTAATTTTAATTTTATTTTATTATTTTTATTTGTCATAGGGCCTATGAGCTCACCAAAGAGACAGAAAGTGAGAAATCATCCCCTCAGGGGAGATGGCCATGTCACAATCCCTTCTCCATCCTCCCCTCAAGATTTTGGGCATGCATAAACACAGAAGCCTTGCATGATTTTCAAGGTATTGGTCTGGAACTTGAATAATGTGGGAATGCAGCACCTTAACCACTATACCATCTGCTAACCCCAGCTCTGGCAAAATTAGAAAAAAAAATAAATTACAGCTGCTAAGTTAAACAAAAATGTTTATGAAATCTATGAAAAAGTCGAAGTCACTTCAAACCTAAAGTTTCAATATTTGATAGCATGAAATAGTTGTTTGTCATGAAAAGACGATGTGACTAGCACTCTTCTGTCTCTTTCATTTTACCTCTCTTCTCTTTAGCACCCAGTTTTTGGTGACTATTTTATGTTTCGGTTTTTTTTAGAGTTAAACATACTTTATTCAATTCTGTAACTATCATTTTTCCAGTTATTCAGGCTTAGCTGACTAAATGGATTACTCTTCCCTCATCATTTACATAATTACTCTGTACCTGTTTTTCCCAGTATAGATTATTCTCTTTCAGTGTTTAAAATCAGTTATTCCCTTTGACAGTAATTTTGTTTTCTACTGTGCTTGAATACTTTTATTTTCCTGAACCATTTGTTGGATTCTCTAATTCAGGAACATAAATTACCACTAGGTTGGATCAAATTTGTCTGTGTTTTGGACTGTGGTTTGTCCATCGGAAGTTTCTGTTTTGGAACTTGGTCCCCAGTCAAATTCTGTTGGAAAGTGGTGAAACAGTGAGTGGATCTTAGTGAGGGGATCATGGAAGCTCTAGCCTCATGTGTGGATTAATGCGGACTCCTGAGAAACTGAGTTCTAGCTCTTATGAAAAGGGCTTAGTTCTCATTCTCAGGTTGTCATAAAAATGGCTTTCCTAGGTTGCTCTCTTTCTGCACGTGCCCATCAGACCCTGTGCCAGTTGCATTCATTGGACATTCTAACCACTAGAATCATGAGTCAAATAAATCTCTATTTTTTAAAATAAATCATTCAGTCTCAGGTATCTCTGTAAGCAGACCAAGGCACCTTTCATGTATATGATCTCTGTAATTATTTTTTGTCTTTTTCTTCTACAGTTCCATGACTATACTTTTTCTCTCTATCATGTTTATCTGAGTCCATTATGTTTCTTGCTGTGTGTGATTTCCTTACAAAACATATAATAGTGAATTTTGATATTCAGTTGATTTCTGTGACTCTGCAATATTCTTTTTATTTAATTCTGTCACTTTATTACTTAGATTTTAAGAGAACAACATTCTCATGAAAACTCTTACATTGATAATGGGGTAATGTTTTATTCTTTGAATTTCTCTAGTAAAAATGGGATGCCTTTTGTCACTGCCACATCCTTACTGAAAAAATAAAAAGTCCATTTACTAACTTGACTATCTTAGTTATATAGAATTTAAGATATTTGGGAAATAACTTTCTTGTGTTTTTAGGAGTCTTAGAGGTTGATCCAAATCGTTCCCCATTGTTGATATGATTAACATTGGAATGGCCAAATAAATAAGAGATTCCTTTATAGATAGACTAAGACAAAAATAGATAGAGGTAAGTTACTTTATTCTATAGTCCTATAGATCACAAGACTAGGTATAGTGCTGAAATAGAAAAAAGATATTTTCATCTAGATTTGTTGACAGTTATAAGGTAAAAATAAATAGCCTCACATCCTTAGAGTGAAATGAGAACAGGCATGCAGTAGAGTATGTGATAGAGATCCCTTTGTCACCAATACCCTTGAGCCTTTTATGTGGAACAGAGAATAGCAGCAGTGAGGGAGACCACTTAAGGCAGGGGACCACCTGCCACTGTCTACCAACTACCCTAGGTACATCCCAGACTGGATACTCCTAAACTCTTCACCAACCTCTGAACCTTGTGCTGTGAAGCAGGAAGCAGGGAGAGACAGTGAGACCAGAGAAGCAGGAAGACCACTTCGGACCTCTAGCTGCCTTCTGCCTCATATTAAGAAACCACCTAACCTAGTCAAAATGACCAAGATTGAAAAAATAAAGAATGAAAAGTGCTGGTGAGGCTGTGGAGAAAAGGGAACTCTCCTCTACTGTTGGTGGAAATGTAAATTAGAACAGCCACCATGGAGAACAATATAGAGGTTCTTCAAAAACTGACAAATAGAACTAACATATGATCCATCAATTCTACTCCTGGGTATCTAGCCAAAGGATAGAAATATATTCCATTGGAAAAGTACTTGTACATCCTTGTTTATTGCAGCATTATTTACAATTGGTAAAAGCATAGAGTCAACCCAAATATTCACAATCAATCAAAAGGATTGAA